ACAAGTTGTATCAAAATGTATTCATGCTATAAAGAGTTTCAGTTCCCATTAAACGGGTTCTGATGACACCCTGTATATTGCTTTAATGTGCTTCTTTCTTCTTACGTGTCTGCTCCAGAAACACTCAGGCACTGCTTCTATTTTAGTTCTAAAAAGTATGCCAAATTCCTTAACGTGCACAGAACCAGGCTTATTAGATCCTAAATTGAGTAGTTCGGGGAGCAGTGAAAAGGGGGATAGCAATGAGAAGAGGGTATGCCCACCACAGAGATCCATCACCACCTATAGCAGAACAAGAAAACTAAACAAGCTACAAAGCCAAGAACAACCACAACAAAAGCCCAAACAACAACAGGTGAAATTCAAACACAATGGACAGATGATAACGGACATCAGTTCTTTTAAGAGTCCTACTCTTTTCAAAGGATCTTTTCAGAATTCCCCCCCCAGTCTTAGCTCTGTAGGACACCGTCACACCCAGCGCAAGAAATAACTTCAGCACTTGAATAATAGGACAACTGTTACAGAACCTACAGGCATCAAACTACCAGCCACTAGAACGTAGTATGCTCTGTTTGCTGACTCGCACTGTGCCTGTACCTCAAACAAGCAGTATGACTGTCTACCTGGTGTTCTAACTCCTTCAATACCGACTTTTTCCACAAAGAACCATTAGGCCAGCAATGACCAACACAAAGAGAGCAGCCATGGAAGCTGCTGGTTTCTACCTTCTGAGCACAGGTCAAGGGCCGAGTCACAAATGGAACAAAACGTAAGAATGACCTAGAAATGGGCTAGCCAGCATCCTGAAAACAGAATAACAAACTTAAGAGAAACAGAACAACCCTTCCTCCCAGATTGCTCAACAGAAAGACAACGCAGTTCTTGCAAAGCTCTTTGGAAGACCTGCTTTAACATACGAAGGGTTCACGGTGAAAAGAAGCTGTAGTTTCCCAGCTGCTAAAGAAAGTAATCTTGGTCCTTGATCCAGAAGAAATTACATTTTCAGAATTCCTATTTCTACACTTCCAGTTCCTCTGCTTGGAAACCCATAAACAGAGACAGAGAAAATGCATTTCACTACAGAATACTGATTATTTCCCCTTCACCAAAATACCTGGCAGAAAGCCATAAATACTTAATCAGTTTGGCATGTCAGAGCTACCAGATAGCAGTTTCCTTCTTGTATTGGAGACTGGAAGCCCTTCAATAAAGTCTTCCAACTTACACATAGTGTAATCTGTCATTTTCAACCAAAAAAAGTGCAGTTGAAAGGGACAATTGCCTTACACCTTCATGCACGTTTTTCCAGCATCTCCTTGCTTATCTATAAAGACTTGTGTACCTCCAGGATTACTCTCAGGCAACTAATTCAGTCAAGAAATAACTCAGCAAACATGGCAGTTTACAGCTGCGCCAGCTCCTTGATCGAGCTGACTGTGCAACAAAAAAATCTTTGTGCTAGAAAAAGAGAAGGGGCACTTTTTGGCAGCAACTTACAGTATTTTAAGTTTAGCACAGCCATGAAAATGCTCCTTCCCTCCAACACCAAATTTGACTCCCAGCAAAACTGCTTTGGGTGCAGCTACTTTTGCTAAGTTATTTGCTAAAAGGGCTGAAAATGTACATTAACTCTTTTTATAGCAGTCTGATAACAGGAGGACGATTGCTTTTATCAAAGTACCAAACTACTTACTAGAATTCAAGATGATGTAATTTCATTAGCACAACTAATATTTTCAAAGAAAAAAGCACTTTGGAAAGAGCATCAGATGCTTCATCATGACTGATACTCTAAATACATTATCCCAACATACTTCATTTACTTTCAGTGTATTGTAACACCATAACCTACGCATTCTCTCCGCACGACTCCCTTCCCTCGATCACTCCTAACTTTGGGCTCGGGATCACACAGAAAGCAGTTTGTGAAGTGTCACCCTCACAAATAATTTACACATGAGAAATCACTCATTTTAACTAGTCGTGAGAAATAAGTGTCCTAACAAGAGCAGAAAACTGCAAATGCTGAAAATGAATGTCAGCAGCTCTGCAGTCTCTGTTTACACTTCTAAGTTGCATAATGTTATTTAGTAACAGTAAAGTCCCAGCTTTGGTAACTAATTCTGCACATAAAGCAAACACATTTAGGGCCAAAAAGAAAAAAATAAAAATAAAAAAGAGGCTCAGGATCATCAGTTAGGAAAGAGTTCTTCCAAGGTTGGGGGAGAGAGGTATGACAATAAAATGAAATCCCTTAACCACAGTCTGTATGGATCATTCTCTTCACATCCATTTACATGGACAAAGCCTTCTCTTTGTGGGATCTAGTAATTGGTCAGGATAAACTGCCACAGCCTAAGCAAAAAGCATTACAATGAGGCATAGGAGCGCAATAACAAACTCTTCAGTCATTTCCATTTCTGATTTTCCTGATACCGTAACTTTGAAAACATTATTAAACAACTAATCTCCTATCCTAATGAATCCCAGATTACAAAGAGAGATGAAATGCGATAAGGTTTGAAAATCAGACTGCAAGCAACTCAAAAGAAGTTATCCAAACAGGAAAGAACAACCTTATGCCAAAGCAAGTAACAAATCGGAAACAGAAATCTCAAAATGTTCTAAATTCACAGAGGTTTTCAGCACAAGGTAGAAATTAAAAAATTATTGCTTCTGCAGGAAGTCAGGAATGCCTCCTCCAAAACTATGAATGGGCATTTTTAACTATGACGTAAGAAGATGAAAGAAACTGGCATTCAATGCTCTGTTCAAACGCAAGAACAAGAGAAATCATTCTATATTACTCATCAGAAAGCAACAAGTCCCATAAGGCAAAGATGAAGATCAAGCCATCGTGGAAGTAAAAATTCTTTTTGTGAAGTCCAAAGGCCGAGAACATCCATAAGGCCAACAGGAGACAAAAGCAATGTCAATATTAACAGGCAACAACACACTCTTCTGAAGTTTTTAGGAGGGAATCTACAGTTGACATTTCAAGACTCCCGTGACAAACAATGAGCTTTACAAAAACAGTTCATTTAGGGACACAGCAATCACAATCCTCAGACTCCAATGTATCAAAGAGCTGAAGAAGTACCTTAAAAGCACCCTCTATAATTTCTTTCTCCATCTCTTATGATTCTGACAATACCAAGACAACCGGATATATCACACGCAAACTTGATTTACAAGTCAAAGTACCAGACAAGAAACTTTAAACATTTGCCCCTTTTGGCTTAAGGTACAACTTGAGAGCAAGGCACGCAGAATCTATGCACGTCTGTTAGAAATATCAGATGTGAAATGTGATTTTGTGCAGTATTTCATTTATCAATTCCCTCAGCATTTCTGTATTCCACATTTCCAGTTTCATGGTCAGATTGGATAGACTCACAGTTCCATCACTTGAGTTTTCTTTTTTTCCATCAGTACGTAAAAATAACTACACCTACTGAAGTAGATTGGGAGCATTAAAGGGCGTGCAGCTCCAGGGTTCTCAAGTTAAGTAAGTCCAAGTCTGTCAAGTACACTTCAGGAGCTGTGAAGCAAGTACTCAAAACTGTGACTTGAACTGCCTGGAACACGTAACAAATTAAATGGTAGTAACACTAAATAGCACTGTATGACTGAAGAACAGATAGTTACATGTAGTCAATATTTTGCACTAGAAATTTTATTCTGTATAGTAAGCAACCGAACTGTGTAAGATACAGAATGCAGATTTTTTGTTGTTGTTGGGCATAAACTCAATTAAAGTAACAATTTTTAGTTAATCTGTTTATTTCTCAGTTTGATTGCTTATAATCACTCCTACTAAATCCATAAGCATTCTAACACTGGGGTTAACCTGAAAGCCTGATTTAGTAACTCGTCAAGACTGAATAAAAATCTTTAACTCATTCCCAAGTCAAATGGTTCCCATTACAAAAGGATACACGAGAAAAACATTAACTGCATATTAAATTGAAAAATTAACTGGACAAGGCTTCACATTTAATACAATTCTGAAAGACAGATAATGGAAAAAATCTTAAATCCAGATTCCTCCAGCTGTAGCGAAGGGCACACACAATATACCAGTTTTAAGAAGTTGTAGCTTTTAAATATTCTCTCATAAAAATATATATATAGGAGAAATCAAACTATTTCCTAACAGAGGCGAAACAAGGCAAAGCATTTAGAATAAAGGAATGTTTGTCAAAACTTGATCCATTTATCTAACAAATTCCCTCTTCATGGAGCATTAGATGCCTCCCCACCTAAAACAAACAACACAGTGTAAGAATCCCCCCCTCTAAAATCAGAAAGACAGGTTTTGGAAGAAGGTCCAACGCACAGTAACTGTCCAAGATATGTACACTTTAAAAGCACAGACAGGAGTTAACAGTGCTACTCAAATCAACTCCATGACATACACTTTTCCCTTCTAATTTTCAAGTGCTAAAGCTTTATCTCAGAAAGGTTTCTCTGTTCCTTGTAAGACATTTCTAACCAACGAGCAATAAGACTCTGCAACATTTCCAATCAGTTCAGTTTTGTTTTAATGATATGGGGCAATTCTTAGAGCAGACATCGTGTAGCTAGCAACTACAAAATAAAGTAAGTTTACTTTTGTGATCCTAGAATTCCAATTTGATCTGTGAATTTGAATCAACTAACTTAAAAGTCAGAGTATCCGAAAATGCATACTACATTTTTACTTCAATTTCATAATATATTTGAAGTTTTGAAGAACTAGGAAAAAGTGAAGTTGGAAAACAGTATATATCACCAAGATTACAAAAACTGGAAAGGAATAATACATTGCATCAGTGATCCTCATTAAGTGAAGTTATTTCATCACAGTAAGTGTTTAAAAAAGTGTCAATGTTATTTAAAAAGTGTTTTGTCCCCCCACCCCCCAAGCGTTTGTTTGAAGACAGATAAACCTTTTCTTTTAGTCAAAATGGCTTTTAAAAAAAGTTTCACAAAACAATAGCAATAATCAAAAAACATGATTTGTATTTTCTTTAATCCATTACATCTCTAGTGCTGAAGGGCCATCCATGTAAAAAGCAGATTCTTTGGGGACACTTGTCAATTAACTTAATAAAACCCAGTTTTATGAGGATTTATCCTTCCTGCTACGAGGCGAGTCTGCTCCATTTGAGGTCACTGTCCCATTTATTCCATTTTCTACAAAAAAAAAAAAAAAAAAATCAAGTAGAATGAGACACTTTATTATTTTACTACATTTTAGTAGGTCCTAAACAGTCATTAACTTCTTCTCTGATGCATCTATTTTGTTAAATCTCATCATTACCATTTATAACTGGAACCATACCATTTATTACCATTTATTCACTGGAACAGGTTGCCCAAGGAGGCTGTGGATGCCCCATCCCTGGAGGCATTCAAGGCCAGGCTGGATGTGGCTCTGGGCAGCCTGGTCTGGTGGTTGGTGACCCTGCACAAAGCAGGGGGTGAAACTAGATGATCATTGTGGTCCTTTCCAACCCAGGCCATTCTATGATAATACAACAGTATAACGAAACTTTTACCAACTGCAAAATACAACGTTTACTCAGACAACTGAAGCACAGTTTGCTGACATGGCCAAACACTGACATGGTTGTGTTACATATATTATAAACTGAAAATCAACATTATCTAGATATTCTCTGATAAAGAGAAATATTCAACTTGTTGGTAAGACATTCCTGTGAAATTCTGGAGTCAGATGGTACACCCCCCATATCATTCTTCTTCCCATTTCATTTTTTAATGCCTAAGAAACTTGCACTCCTTTACTCACCTTTACAAGCTTTTTATACACATAGAAAAATTAAGGTTAATTAATCACGTACTTAAAAAAATACAGAGGTCATTTATTTTCTGAAGAAAATATTTAAATAGATAAGATGGACAGAAGTAAAACATCAGTTAAAATATAAGAAAAGTATACAAGGAGCTCAAGCATAGGACTTAGACACCTAAGAACACAAAGCAAGAACCTGATACCATCAGCAGCTCTTTACTTGTATCCCACTTCTGGGTCAGCTCAAGAGTTTTAATATGAAATAGTCAACAAGTGGTACCTGTGCACAGCAAACATTTGCTCTCAGCAATGACCCAACGTCTATGGATCTATCATGTCCTCAAAAGAGTGGAACAGAGCAGTGCGATACCGCTATGAACGAAAGCATCCCCTCTACTTAAAGTCACCACAGCCCACGGAAGCACAGCTGCTGCCTGACAGCAACCAAATTTATAAAACAGACCAAAAGAGCAGAAGTGCGTAGTCAGCTTTACTGCTTGCATCTCTGCTCAACTAACTTGCACCACCATTTTGATTTAAAGCAACTACACCTTCCCGTACAGATAACAGGTTAAGTTCATGTTTTTCATCTCCAAAAATGCTGCAGATCATCAGAAGGAGTGGCCAATCCACAGAAATAACTGCAGATATTCCTTCTCCCCTCCTTTCCTTCACCCAAAGCTCCCATGCATGCTAACAAGCAACTGAAGTAAAAAGGAGAACAAAAAACGAAACCAATCAACCAAGCAACAACACGAGTGAGAAAGAAACTGGTCACAGGCCTGATCAGCCATAGAGGAACAGTCAGAGCCTCTTTATTTGGCTGTAAATGACACCATCATCTCAAGCTTATGTCAGGCTTCTTCGGGCTCCTCTCAAAAAAATTTGGTTATTCTTGATTTATAAAGCTTACAAATAGTAATCTAGATCCAAACCAGCAGAGATCATATTCTCTTAACAGTTAAGTCAAAACAAGTGAAAAGAAAGAACACAAATCAGCAAGTGCTGGGCATCACACATACATCACCAACATTTTCCCACTACTATTGCTTGCTTCTGGCACAGTCTAAAAGAAAGGCATTTTGTGTCCTGGCTCCCCAAATGCAGCCTGCCGCACTCACATGCAGCTCCCCCCCCAAATAAACATCAAAAAAACCTGTTTGAAATGCAACTTAATTGCATGTTTTAGTTCTTAGAAAAAGAAATACCATATCTTGTGCAAATGTTCTGAGTTAACACTGTTACAGGAATCTTCCAAACAGAAACGTCTAAAACAACACCAGCCTTTGGGATCAACCTTTTCTTTAGAATTCCAATTTAAAATAAGCTGCAAAATTCCTGGGTCTTTAAGGCAGTCATAGCTCAATTATTATGTGAATTCAATCATAATTCAAGTTAACTACAAGTTTACCAAATTAAATCAATGAAATTTAAGAAAAGTTTAAACATTTTAACTCACTGATTAAATAGCAGATATATAAACGAATTCCACAAGTAAAACAAAGTAATAAATGAACATTAAGCTCTGATTCAGTCGGACACCTACAAGTTCTATTGATAAAAATGCCACTCCTATTTTTTTCTAGTATCACAGAATGACAGAATGGCTTGGGTTGGAAGTGACCTCAAGGATCACCAAGTTCCAACCCCCTGCCACAGGCAGGGCTGCCAACTTCCCCATTTAATACTAGATCAGGCTGCCCAGGGCCCCATCCAATCTGGCCTTGAACACCTTCAGGGACGGGGCATCCACAACCTCTCTGGGCAGCCTGTTCCAGCACCTCACCACTCTCATGGTAAAGAACTTCCCCCTAACAACCAACCTAAATCTCCCCTCCTTCAACTTAAAACCACTTCCCCTTGTCCTGCTGTTATCTACCCTTTCAAAGAGTTGATTCCCCTCCAGTTTGTAGGCTCTCTTTAGGTACTGAAAGGCTGCAATGAGGTCACCCCGCAGCCTTCTTTTCTCCAGGCTGAACAAGCCCAGTTGCCTCATCCTGTCTTTGTAGGGGAGGTGCTCCAGCCCCCTGATCATCTTCATGGCCCTCCTCTGGACCCTCTCCAACAGCTCCCTGTTTTTCTTGTATTGGGAGCCCTGGATCTGGATGCAGAACTCCAGATGGGGCCTCACGAAGGCAGAGCAGAGAGGGAGATCATCATCTCATATACACACCACCTCATGTATATTGTAAAAACCTACACTCTGCCCACCAAGAACCCAAAACAAACTCAAAAATAATAAAATAATATAAAAATCAAGGTCTGAAATCTGTCAGCTGAAGTAAAAATATGTGCATGTTAGCAATGGGCAACAAAACCTAAAAACTAACAATGGACAAACACAAAATAGTGCTAATCGAAAACAACCAAAATGATGTAAGAAACAATCTAAAGCATGACTTTAATACAAAAAAGACACCTTAAAAGTTGAAAATCCACCTCTGACACATCTCAGTTCTCAGTACAACTGTCTTCATGCAGTAAATTCAATGTACTGAAAAAGCATTAGAGGTTAGCAACAAGCAAAAGATCATGTGGAAATAAGCTTTTGAGGTGACTGTTTCAAAGAAGTTCAGGAATTATTCAAGCTAGCACTTAACTACATAGAAGCTCAACTGTACAACAGATTTATCTACGTAAACTGAGTACATAATTTCATTGGAGGAAATGGCAGACTGTTCATCTTTCATCTTCCCCTAAGAGTGACACAAACCATCAATTCATTTCCAAAAGCTCTTAAAGTAGTAAGCAGTTGTTACCTACGCCTTTAAAAGAAACATCAAAATGCTGTTATTAGTAAAGACAGCCCAACATGAGCTTATTTACTGGATCTTCACTCAGTGGCACTGAAAAATATGCCTGAAATTCACTGCAAGAAAGAAGAACTTACGAGCGATCATGGGAACATCTAAAAAATGTCTCCTCCCTTTTTAAAACTGTAAACAACATGAGCACGACAGATTTCATGCAATAAGATTAGACACAATAAATTGCAAAGCTGCAATAACTGTAACAGTGATTCCTTCATTCCATCAATTACAAAACAAAGCCAAGCCCACTTTTTCTAGATCAAGATTTTTTTTTTTTTTAATCAATAAAATAAATTCACCAATACTGCTTCTGCAACTGAACCTTCCCATTGGAGAGCAGAACACAGAAATTACTTCAGCAGTTTTATCATAAAAGGTTCTCTGTAATCTGAAGTTGCTTTCAAGACACCAAAGTAACAGGAAACTTGAAAATACAAACCTCTTTCTTTTCTGGAAGTCTTTCCTTTAGCTGTGACAAACTTCTTTTTCACCGATTGAGGCTGAGAAGAAGAATGCTCTCTCCATCTCCGAAGTTGGAAATTAATGAATTTCCACATCATAAATGCTTGAGCCAAGCAGATGGAGGCCAGCACGCTGATTCTGAAAAAGAAACAGGTACAGGTTCAGCAGTAAGTCCACCTTGTTGTTCAAAGAAAAAAGGAAAGCAGAATAGCACATCATACAGTTTTTTTTGTACATCAGAAACGGCCTTTTTACTTTGTTTCCTCCAGTGCAACAGAGTTGTTCTTTCTGGACTACACATTAGTAAATGTTTCTTGCTTTCTGGTTAGGAGGTTTTCCTCTCCTCCTCCTAACACCCATTTTTCCACAGATGCAAGAGTTAGTGGGCTTAACACAGCAGAACAAAACTGGATGTGTACTAAGAGCAAAGACTCCATACTTCCATCAGAACTGAGAAGCAGTAAGTTTCTTTTCTGCTTTCTCCTTTCTCTAACACTCAAGGTACCTGTCACCAGAACACAGAATCACAGAATGGCCAGGGTTAGAAGGGACCTCAAGGATCATGAAGCTCCAAGCCGCCTGCCACAGGCAGGGCCACCAACTTCTCCATTTAATACTAGACCAGGCTGCCCAGGGCCCCATCCAATCTCACCCTGAACTCCTCCAGGATGGAACACGGGTCCTCCAGTTCTGAATAGTTAGACTGCAGGGTACTGTGGACACTGGCAATGTTTTAATAAATTCCTTTTATGCATTTAATTCATAAAAAGGCTGAATGGTTGGCCGAACCAACCATTGCATCAGGCAGCAGCAATAAAAGTCATAATAAAGGCAGAGAAAGAGGTGAGAATCTTCAACCAGATTCAAAGATGCTTGGATATGATGTCCAATTGTCACTGCAATTATTTATAGTTCGATTTAATAACTCTGAGGTGTGAAAGGCATCTCTACAGCTGGATATTCCTTTTAATCTTGTTTTATTTTCCTAACTCGTAACCAGTTATAGATTTCTCAGTGACAGACTGTAAATTCTTCCATTCACTTCAATGTGCTTGACAAGCTTTTTGGTTTTTTTTTTTTTTTTTAAAACCAAAGCCATGCCCACTGATCCCATTCAGTACTACTAGCATTAACACTACACAGGTTTAACACAGGCTTACAGATCATGCTTAGGAACCATCCCAAGTTTACTGTACCTAACAGCCAGGATATTGAAGTTTCCAGTGCTGAAATTCAGCTGCTGATTTTCTGCTCTTGCCAGACCAAAGCCAAAAGTGAGGACAGAAAGAATCAAGGTGAGAAGCCTTCCCAAAACAAAAAGGACTGCCCACAGTGAAAATCTGCAAAGAGAAAGACCACAAACACTATATATGAATTCTCTGCTCACAGCACAAGTTATATAGTTATAACAAGTTATACAAGTTATATACAAGGCAAATAGTTACTCTTAACTCTAAGAACTCATCTGAGAGTTAAGAACTCGACTCAGTTATTTTTCACTTGTCCTAATCCTTTATTTTCAGTTATTACAGAAGACAAAAATTAAGAAACGCCTCACTTAGGATTTTTTTTCCTACAAACCAAAACTTTGTTCTGAAAATTATTTGTATCTCAACAGAAAGTGCCTCCCGTGACTATAAGAACATGAGTGTGTTAAGAGTTTATTTAGAACTGACTGCATTAGCAGCCCAGGCTGTTGCCTTTTCTACAAGACTTGTACCTGGAAAATGGTTTATTTTTGCTTTTAATAAAAGTAGTATGAGATTTAACTCCATTTTACATAGCTACTAACATCTACTTATACAGGACAGTAAGTTAAAAAAAAAAAAAGTTTTTTTTAGTCTGGAGGACAGTGGCCTCTAAGGAAATACAAGACAACCTTCCCTGTAATCCTGGCTTCTGCTTAGTTAAAATGCACGAGGCTTGCAAGACAGAGGTTACCTGAATTTGAAAACTGCTGACTACTTACCCTTTCTGGTATCTTTCATCACTAAAGTAGAAAAGACGAGATATGTGGAAAAGAAATTCAACGAAGTAATGTAATACCAGGAGAACAAGTCCAAGGTGGGTCAGACTATTAAAACAAATAGAACAGCCATTCAAATGCTTTGTTACATTTTAGGACAGTGATTGAAGACAATAAAACCTCATACATTACTTACTTCAAAAGATAGGCTCCAGCAATATGAAAGAGATAAAGTCCAATGTAGACAATTTGGCGAAAGATATCCTCCTATTGAAAAGAAACAAATAAACATACATTACACACAACGCTATATGATGTTACAATACAGATTGCTTCCTAGTCCTAGAAATTATCATCTTCTCAGCTACCCCACGTGGCCTGTTTTGGCACTGAGTTACTCCATCTAATTCCACACCACTTACTGCTTACTTACCAGTAACATACTGCATTTTTTTACATACACTTTTGTGAGAAAATGCATTTGAAAATGCATTTCAAAAGATGAATTTAATTCTTTGTTAAGACTTATCTGAACTTGCAGCAGTTACTACAATAAGTACATAATTGGTAGGAATTATTGTATCTCCAGATAAACTTCTGTAGTTTGACACGTTTTCTGCCATTCTGATTCTGTCAGATCGTTACAGGAATAGAACAAAAGTCTATGAACCAAAAAGAAGTTTACAACTGTTGTTGTGCATTTAAAAAATTCAAGATCACTCATGATTTTGGCACATTGTTGGCAGTAAACAGAATAACATTACTAAGCAGTGATACAAACACCACCTGAGAAAAGAAAACTCACTGAAGTATACCAGATCACAGCATGGGTATCCATTCTGAAATGGTAGGTAGAATACATCCATCTGTGCTCATTTGTCCCTACGCTTCAGGTAAGGGGCTTTCAGTTTTATCATGCACGCACGTAAATGCAACCAACCAAAGAAACACAAGAAAACCTCCTAAAAATGTCATCCTTTAAGATCTACTCTACATCTCCAATACTTTACCTCAAAGCTGACAAAACGAAATAGCTGTTACAACACCTAACAACTCAGAGAGAGGGAATACAGTTAAAAACCTAAGTGATCCCAAAGAAAACAAAAAACAGGTTGTGCAGAGAAAACACGAGTGTACTCACTGCAAACACTGTGGTTCTCCAAGTAGTACCAGAACAAGCCTTTTGCACTTTATTTTCGGAACAAAGGTAACATTTAAATAGCCTCAGCTGCCTGCTTACATAAACTGTCAGACTTAAGGCCTATTGGAATTACTCAGGTGGAGTTATCCACCACTAAACAAAAAGCAGAGTTGAGAACCCCCTATATTTTTCTTTTTTAAATGTCAGGAGTAGAAATAACTGGACCTGAGCAAAAGCAGCCAATTCCTGCATGAGAAATAAGGCAGCGAAGTCAAGACAGGAGAGGTGAAACTGTGGTAAGGGGGTGTCAACTCGAAATGTGATAAAATAAAACAAATAGCCTTAAAACTTAACCAAAAAACTAAAAACCCAAATGACCAAACAAAATACTACTATTAAGCATACAGCATTTCTGCCACTTTCTGGCAGCTTTCATAAAGTCACATTAAAGCAAACAAAAAACAGAGCCAACCAATACTTAAATATTAAGTCAAGTTCTAGAGATATCACTGCCCCAGTGTGGCAATATTGGAGCATCAGCTGAAATACCTGCATAACATCACTGCTGATACTGCAATCAGCATGAAAACAAACCTCATTACTACTTTCCCAAGCCTGCTCTAGGTCCTGGAATAAAGACCTGTGGTTACCTAACATACATTTCATTTCCTTGAATGAAGCAGAATCCTGACAGCAGAAACTCAATCTAGTCACAGAGCAACAAGAGAAGAGTTTTTAAAAGGAAGCTGTGCATGCAAAGACAGCCTGAGCAAAGAACATGCGAACAGACTATTTGTGTTGGTCAAGAAAAGCAAAAACTGCTACAGAAATCTACAGTGAACTCAATGTGAGCAGTTAATTCTGAGAAATACAATGGACAAAACTCTCATGTGGCAAAGATGCTGTTCAAACACTCACTGCACTACTAACTAGAAATTCTGCTGAGGACAGTGGTATTTACAACAAATCCCAGTAGTTTATAGTGCTTGGATTTAGCACATTATTCACTGCTTCTATTCAATACCTATATTGAATAGAATACCTGTATTGTGATTCCTGAAGCATTTCTGTATTTCAATGAGATTATTCAGACAAGTAATTACAGAAAACAAGAAAAGATTCTGAAACAATCTCCCAATCATTTGTTCAAAGGAAAATTCAAGTTCTTTTAGCAGATGGGATATGCTACTGATTTGTATTTACACAACAGACACACAGTGAATTTACTTCAGAAATACGGGGTTTAAGTGAAAACAAAACACTTGCTTCTCACGTGTACATCAGAGCACCAAAATTCCAATAAGGAAAAGCTTAAGTACACAGATAAGAAAGGGGTTGCAAATGTAGGGTAACACACTTTCCCAAACAGATGAATCACTCCACTATTCCAGCTGCTTTGCTTGGCATTCTTTCCATTTGCTTTCTGAACTTACTTTTTTAGTTTTCTGGAAGTACAATTCTGGGAAAGCATGAAACCAGTATGCCAACTGTAAGATGTAGAAAAACTTCATTTGAAACCTGTACAATACAGCAAGAATTGAAGAATATTACTTTCTCTTCATAAACTTAAAATGTTCCAGAAACTTTCTAGTGAATACATTTAATCGCTATCTCTAAAGAGAAGCAGAGATCCTTGTTGCCAGTCAGCTTTGTTCTCAGAAAGATCAAATAATCAAATTCACCACAGCTTCATTTTATAAATAAACAGCCTGCAGAAGGATTAATGTATACTCCCCACTGACAGGGAATAAAGCTTCTCTGTCAATACAAACAAAAAATACATCAGTGACAAATTTAATTTCAGCAATTTCCATATGACTTCAAAATGCCAACACCCCTTTCCTCCCCCAGAACCGTCCTTCAAGGAAGAGGCCTTACGGAATCAGAGTGTGTGGGTAGTCCCTCCACAGAGAGGTTGGATCTGATATATAGTTCTCCTAAAAAACAAAAGCACAGCTTCTGAAGTCACACAGCGTTGCTGTTTCCTAGTTAGAAATAACGAAGGGACACACATACATGTATTTTTATACATCTGATGCGTGCACACAGAAATACTGACACGCAATTAAAAGCTGCAGATTGATACATTGCCATTTACAAAACTAAAACAACAAAACATAACTGTATTAGCCTAAAAGGAAAAAAAAATAAGGAACAATAAACAATTCAAGTGCTCATTGAAGAAAAGATTCCTTCTGAGCTGGAGGTTCTTTCAACATCACCACAGATAGAAGTCTTCCCTTGTAAACTGCTGACAAGCTTTGAGCTTAACTAGGAGAAGAAAAGTTTTTTAGGAGTCATTGTGCTACAGAAAAAGATTCTACTCTACCTTTTTCTTGAAAATTTTAAGTTTCTATAATCATCGTTAGAAAATGAGCTTTCAAATTAAACAATAGGTTATACTCCTGTAAGGGAAGAATAATTTAGGAGCTTACAATGAACCACATACTTCTCCCTGAGCACCTGTGTAAGTGGGAACAAGAGATGGGTTATGCCTTTCTTCTAAAAGCAGAAAGTGGGGTGAGCACAAACACAGCCCAGTGCTAGCAAAGGGCATAGCATCTGACAGGGCTCACCTAAGCCTACAGCAACTTGTCCACTGCCCATTCCCTAGGCTGCCAAAATGGACTGCATAACTAATACATTAAACATTTATTTTAGAATGATGAACCAACACAGAAAAACTATGGAGAATGAAGTACCCTAATAGAGCTTAAAAATCACATTTTATTCATTTGACAGCAAATTCAATTTACTGAGATGGAGCAACAGTAACACTACTGGACTTCATACTTAATTTTGATACAATTCACACTGAATTCTGAAACATGCCCGTGCTTTAATATTAAAATCAGCTAAAATTAGGATAAGTTGAAAACTTACTGGTCTTGCTAAGTTGCAGTCTTATGAGAAACACAAGAGGAAGTGTACTTACAGAGACAAGAATACTCGTGCCCCAAACACAGGAGAAAAGGTAGAACGCACTAAGTTGTCCAGACTCATTGAACTTGCTATGCTTTGTTTTGGAAAAGTGCATTTTCCTGTTAATTTTCTGAAATGAAAGTCCACTGTTATTTATGTTGTTGTACTTAACATTAGCTGTTACCAGCATTAGAACATCTGAAACTTCCAATAAATGTTTCAGCATTTTAAAGGTAAATTTTAGCATTAAAGCTTTTAAGTTAACAGTCAAAGTCTAATCTACTATCTTGATGAAAGGAATTAGTATTTTGTACTTACATCCAATACATACTCCTGAATAATAGCGTGTATGATTATTGCTACGAGCATATAAAAGAAAATTGTAGCCAAGTCTTTGATGCCATAGTGATAGAGAGAGATTGTTTCTGCAGATTGTTCTTCTAGAAGACAAAAACAGAATTAACTGTTAGGCACTGATACAGTTTTATTGCCAATAAGTTTGTTTCTTAAAGTGAAACCTTTCAGGCAAAAGTCATTTGTTGTCAGCTGAACAAATATAAGTCAAATTAAACCACCACCCTGAGCTAGGTCACTAGACTCCATTTACAATAATCTTCTCCATCGCATCACAAACTCAATTTGATTTTGGAAGGATGTAATATAAAAATGGAAACTTAAGTGCACTTAGGAAGCTTAGCCAAATGCACTGAAAGGGAACTATAAAATTATGTTAAACTATCAACCCTCCCCCCCCGTCCCCACACACTAAGTAGAACAGATCACTTGCATAACCAGAGTAAGAACATGAACTTATTAACCACCGAGACTGGGTTTCAGGATCAAGAACAAACCCAGCAGAGCAGAAACATTTTCCCTAATGCAATTCACAAAATGACAGAATGGATTCCTTGGAAGTTTTACCAAAACAATTTATATTAAGTCCTTAAAATCTCTGTACTGTTCATTTAAACTCAGTAACTTATTCTCAGTTTAGGGCATACAACACATTAGCAGTGTCTGAGGATAACAGCCCATGACTAACCAACCACCTGCAAGCACATACCTGTGGCAGGAATGGTAACGTTATACTGAAGAGTGACGAAAATGACAGCTGCTTTTGCTGTAATCTGGAAAAGAAAATACAGAAGTGCTGTCGAATCTCACCGACATAAGCTATTTTAAACTGAAGATGTTTACCCCCCAGTTTTAGCACTCTTCCCCAAGCATGTCTCCTCCTCCCAAGAAAACAGCCAACTCCCATCATCACGCCACTTCATCTGGCTTTCTGAAGGCAAAAGAGACCACATAGATTTGTTTACAGAAATACCCTCAAAAATTCCTCTTCATGAGGGACAGCAAGAAAAAACGAAATTCACAATAGAAGAGAGAAGCAGAAAATGTTTGTTCTGAAGTCTTTTCTGGGCAGGGAGATGATACCTTCAAAGAAGAAAACAAAAGCAGCAATTCTTGTTCATCAATAACAATTTTCAAGTGTAAGACATTTTGCTACCTGAAGATAACCCACTAAATTATTATTATGGCTCAAAAGAAATTGGACTTTTCTTAAAAAATTTTATATCTTTTTCACTGAAACAAGCACTCCATAAACTAGGAGTTTTCCTTGGAACCAACCCTGCGCAACTTCTGGGAACCCAACTAGTCTGCCAGAATTTATTCCACTACTCAGGACTGTGGAAGGAGCCTCCAGAGGACTCACACCACCAGCCAGTTCCGACATGCCATACCAAGCCTCACTCAGCTAATGCTGTTCAGCTAAGCAAGGGCAAGGCAGTACCTAAAGGGAGCCTATAAACAGGAGGGGAGCCAACTCTTTACAAGGGTTGGTAACAGCAGGATAAGGGGAAATGGTTTTAAGTTAAGAGATGGAAGATTTAGATTGGATGTCAGAGGGAAGTTCTTTACCATGAGAGTGGTGAGGTGCTGGAACAAGCTGCCCAGAAAGGCTGTGGATGCCCTGTCCCTGGAGGTGTTCAAGGCCAGACTGGATGAGGCCCTGGGCAGCCTAGTCTAGTACTAAATGGGAAGTTGGTGGTCCTGCCTGTGGCAGGGGGTTGGAGCTTCATGATCCTTGAGGTCCCTTCCAACCTGGGCCATTCCGTGATTCTGTGAGGACCGCATCAATACTGTACCATACCAGCACTAACTGCGGCAGATGATTTCTAAGGCCTGTACGCAAAGCATTTCAGAGACCTAGCAATCTGTTCAGCCTCACTGTATGTGTAACAATGGAGGTACATGGTCCCTCTATGCCAAGATAGAAAATAAATGTCGTGAAGTGAAAATCAGAGAGATTTTCTGAGAAATGTCGAAGAGACAAAGGCTTCGGCACACTCAATGCTAGCAGCAATGTGGTGAATAAACAGTAAGCATACACACAAGGGAAGGGTTTAGGTCCGTATCTTTAACCTTAAAACCACACTGTGAGGCACGGTGTGATTTCTGGTGACTTTTGGTAGTAAAAATCACACAAAGCAGCGTTCTTAGTGTGTCCCATCTTTTCAGACGTTGGGAGTTTTTCAAATCCTACACCTGAGCAGCACAAAGGCCGGGTAAAACTGCCGAAAGTCATCTGCGTGGGTAAAACGGCCACCGGCTGGGACTCTGAAAAGCCACAACCGCGCCGCGTGGCGGACGTGTCCTGCCGCGATAGGGCACTCTGGGAACATCTCGGGGATCCCTCACAAGGGAACCCAGCACGGCACGCTCAGCTCAGCGGCCGGGTCGGGGAGGGTTTCCGGGGAACCGGGAGCTCCGCAGGCCACGTGGGCCGGGCCGACCAAAGCCAGGCGGCGGCCGCCGGGGGACTCGCGCCCCGCTGCCCGCGCGGCGGCCGTAGGTACACGTCACCGCCGGCCGCCCTTCCCCCTGCGGGCCGCGCGGCGGCGCGCGGCCTCACGGGAGTCGTAGTGCCGGCGGGGCCGCCCGGGCAGCGCACACAAAGAGCGCGGTGAGGCAGGGCAGGGCCGGGCCGCGCCTCCCCGCCGCCCCCCTCCGCCTCCCCCGGTCCGAGCGCGGCCGCACGCCGCGCACCCCTCCCCCGGCCGAGTGCCACGTAACCCCGGCGCGGCGGAGGGAAGCGCGCCTCGGCTCCTCGCGGCGGCGGGGCACCGTCTCGCTCGCGAGGACGGTTGCGGCGGGCAGCGCGTCTCCGCGCCGAAGAGGGCGTTCCCGGAGGGGCCGGGCCCCGGGGAGCGGGGACGCGGCGCCCGCCCGGGCTCCGCCGTACGGCCGCGATCGCGGCACCGCGATGCCGCCCGCCCCCGGGCCGCCCGGGCTCCCGGCGGAGAGGAGGACGGAGCGGGAGTCTCACCTCGAACATGAGCCCCAGCAGGAAGATCATAGCCATGCAGGAGACGATGTCGGCGTGGTTCTGCACGATGAACTCGTGGCTCAGCACCGGCGGGTTCTTGTTGCTCTTCTTGCGGATCGCCATGGCGGGCCGGGAGCTGGGCGCCGCCGCCTCCCCGCTGCCAGCACAGCTCTCGCTGCGGCCAGGAAGAGGCGGGTGGGAGGAGGCGGCCGCGCAGCAGAGGAATGGCAGCAGCCGCCGCTTCACCCCGCCCCGCCCGCCGCGGCCCCGCGCGGCCCTTCCTCCGCTGCCCGGCCGCCGGGAGCGGCCCCCGCCGCCGCCCGCCAGCGCCCCTGCCGGCCGGAGGGGTCTTCGGCCCGCCCGCGGGGAGGCGGTGGCCCGGCGCTTCGCGGGCCCCGACGGCTGGCTGAGGGCCGGCCGGGGCTGCTCGGGTGGCGCTACGTGGCTGTGGCTGCCTTCGCCGGCCCTGCTTCTGCGTTGCCCAAAGCCGCCTTCGGTTTCGTTCTCCTCCCTCTCTCTGCGAAGTTTAGTTTCTATTAGGCCGTTCCTAGCTGGACGTCGGGGGAAACGAAGGATATCGTTAAGAAACGGAACGCGCTGGGTTTGTTAGGGTTATGGCTAGGGCACGGCCTCAGGGTATGAATAACAGCAGATTCCTGCCAGCCCACAGCCTGGAACAACACACATCCAAACACCCTGGAATCCCAGGACAAGAAAAGTTATCCCATGAGAGGGGTAAAAAAAAAATTTCTAAATCAGAAATATGTTATGGAGAAGAGATATCAAAAGCCTGTGAATAATTAAAAAAACAAACAAACAAAAAAAAAACACAACCAAAAAAACCCAAACCCAATTGCCCCAAAACAAAAGCCTGCTCTTAATTTAAAAAAGATATGTATGTATATGAGAAAGATCAGTCCAGATGGAAGAAAAGGGAAGGCAAATAAAGGTGTCCTGACAGATACTCCCACTGGAGAATAGTCTCCAGCATACCTGATGGCTGAAGCTGAGTGGTGTGAGGGTGGGTTCTGGCTTGCCAGAGCAGAGTGCACACCACATCCAGGCCATGACCAGCTTTCTGAACGACACCTGCCAATATAAACTAGATTTATGTTCAGGCTCAAGCATTAAATCAGGTCTTTCCAGAACCAGAGCTACTCTAAACAAATAAAATCTGTGAAGATGCTCAGAGGCTCTGTAAAAGTTTATTAAGTCATGGAGACAGGAATACTCAGTAATTGGAGATGGTCTGGGATACTTAGAATACAGAATAAACTATTTTTTTCCTCCTTTTTTTTTTTTTAATATATGAAAGTAGTTCAAACTGAACAAGCATTCCTGTTTCAATACTAATATATTTCTTTTCAATCCTAGGAATCCCTCCATCTCTTGGCCATATATTTTGTAAAGAACATTATTTCAAAAATGATGATGTGAAAGTTGCATTCAGGTGCATTCCACATAGTTACAGATGTAATATAATATAATGCAGAAGTAAAATACACTGAGTTAGGATAAAAAAACAAAAAAGTTCTTTTTTTCAAAGTAGTCTTGAATTTATTTATGAAAAGAAAACAAGTCCATAGAACTTAGGGAATGGGATTTAACTACCTGGGATGGGACATCCTATTTTTCAAGCAATAATCAGCAAATGCCCTGAGCGGATGGCTACTGTCTTCCTTTACAGGCACAGAGATCTTGGTGTTAACTGGCTTTCTGTGTTTATCAATACAAACCACTACACTGAAAAGGAAAATAAAGCAACCCACTGCCTCATCTGAGTGTTTTCCACATATTCCTATTGTTGGAGACCTCTCTTCTGCCACATGATGTTTCTTACAGCGCTTTAGGCAAAGTGTTATGATCTGAAATACCTGTCAGTCCTCAGTCTTACTACTTGCCAAAGGGCTGTTGGTCTACGTTTGCCAGATTTTGTCCCAGCCTTCCAGATATTGAAAGACTACGCTTCAAAATGATCTTAGGAAGGAAGTCTGAAATCTATTTCAAGTTGGAAGATCGTGGAGGATTTAGCAGTAACCATATTACTGCACCTGACATAACAGATACAGACAGAACAATGCCCTTCCAATTTGGGAACCTTTCAATCATCAGTTATACTTAAAAACATATCTCAAGAAAGGTATTTCTTAAGAAATATAAACTTGACAAGAAGCAGAATGGGAAACTTGAAAATGTTATACCTACTGTCAAAATTATTTCCTAGTTCTTAAACCTAATAACCTACATTTCTGTGTGTTTCATCTCAGGACAGCATATTAAAACTACCCAATTTAGTGCTCCTTCTGTCCCCAGCTGTTTACAAAGTTAATGCACTGAACAACATTTGCCCTTCCATCTTGATGAGACAGAAATTGCCCCTTCTCCTGTTTTCATTCTCAGTCCTAAATAGATTCTGCACAGACTAATGAATTCAAGGCAGGGGTTGGAAACAGGATGATCCCCGTTTTTATACAGGCATGGATTATAGCTTACTGTCCCATTATTAAACAAACCTAAAATCTCATAGCAAGGAATCTTATGACTTGTGCAATGTCACAGATGCAAGTATATGTCTTAGTAAAGCAACCTCTGCTTTTAATATTTCAGACACCATCTATAGCACAAAAGACAACTCAAGTCTGGTCAAACTGCTATTTCCCTCACCTTCCATGAGCTTTAGACGTCAGCTGCATCACAGCATGGAATATGTAATGTAGTTCTTTTCATCACATCTCTTTCTTTACTATCTGCAATTTAACTCAGTTCTGAAGAATCTTCCATAAACACAGTCAAACAGAAGAAAATAGTGCAGTGACATTTGGGATGCCAGTAGCTTTCTTTAGCTTGGAAGGTAATGAGACATCATCACTTCATACCAAACCCTACTGTGTTTTAGGTTCTCAGGCTTCCCACCATGACAAAACTGTACCATTTCACTTAAATTTCTCTTCTCCTGAAGCAAAAAGCCATCATTATGAACAAATGTTATCAACTTCATCAGATACTGGTAACTATTAAGCTGTGCCTACTAAAAACACCCAAACATACGCATGTTCCACAAATGAAGATACAGGAGGAACTTGAAAGGTTCTCAAGGATTTTCAAGAACATACATTTGTCTTTAGTACCTTTAAACATCTCTTTAAGGTTGGACCAGCATTAGAAAAGTGAATCAAGAACATATGTTAAATGCACAATATAATACAAACATTTATATATTACTCTGAAAGCTACCCAGAAAACTAAAGTTTGAATTCATCTGCAAACATATTTTACTACAACTACTCAGTATCTTACAATCAAATACAACCTTTAGTTAAAATATTTGTTCTTTAAATGATGTTAATAACACAATTCTAAGCTTGTTATAAAGTGGTAGAAAAACATAACCTCATATTGTTTACAATATATATTTCAATTTAAGTAGCTTTTTAAACACATTATTGCAGAAACGTAGAAGATATAGAATTAAAGTCTGTCTTAATGCTGTGTGTGTTTTGACATTAATTAGGTGAAATTAATGCTCCTTTAAATTTCACAGAAATGGTGTTTCCATGAGCAAACAGATATATCTGGAAGTACTCTCAGTTAAAACATACTGCCAGCAAAAACATGCACAGACAGTTACATTATGGAAAAGAATATGAAAAACAGTATTTCCACTTGCTAGCAAAAATTGGTTGTTTTTAGAATTTACAGAGAAGTTACCATCAGAATCACTTTTTGAAAAGCACAAAAGCAGCTGAAGTGTCTGATCTTTGTTCTTTTTACTACAGATTTGTTTATACACTCTCCAATTTATTGTTTAATAAACATCACTTTTAAATTGTTAGAACCTAAAAAACAAATGAAAGACTTTTACTTCACATATCCTCCGAGCTCATCATTCTCTTCTTTCATGCAGCAACCGTGCAGACTGAAAATGCTCTCAAGAAATCTTGTGTAAGCTACAGATTGTTTCTCCATCTGAAGCTGGGTGATGCATCATGTACTGTTAAGATAAAGAGTCCAAATTAGTCATAAGCTAACACTTAGATGCTACATATAAGCAATAGACTATCTCAATCTGCAAATTCTGCATGTCTTTATATGGCATTTTGAAGAAGATCACCAGGTTGGCTATTAAAATGCTTTCCTGCAGGCCAGTGCTGAATTTTAGTGGAAACTGATAAACTCTGTTTCACAATGTAAGTCCTAGTGATATTTAAAAAAAAAAAAAAAGCTTAATAATCCTGCAGTTATTTAATGTTCAGGATACTAAAATTGCTAGACAGTAATAAATTTGAAGTAGAGGAACACTTGTTGCATTTTGTGACATTTATGAACTTGAGAAGTGTGCTGCTAAATTTATAGCAGTTTTATCTCTTCAACTGTTTTTTAAGAACTTGAAACAATGACAATTTTCCAAATATGGCAGAGTTTACATGTATGTGTCGTGCAATGCTCCTGTATGCAAGGCATTGTTTTTCTGTCCAAAGTGAGAAAAACAAATAAGTAAAAGCCATTATCACTCCTAATTGGAGCTATAAAAATTATGTACCCATATACACTGCAATCCCTAGGATGAAGTGGTAAATTAACAACAGTGGCAGGAAGCGTATGGCCATAATCTGCATGGAGCAGCTCTCCAGTAACAGTGGAATATGCCTGTCTTATTCATTACCAACACCAACAACACGTTTATTTGAGATAATATTTTGTGAAAATTAGGAGCTGTAGCCATGCTGCTGTTTGCCTATCTTCCATCACAATGGCAAAATCTGAAATACTGTAAATCAGACTACATGTGAATATGCAAGCATTTGTATGCTACTCATTAAGAACCAATCAATTTTCCTTAACAGATGTGCTTAATTTGAACTGAAAGATCAGCAATGGTTACATGATGTTAAGTGTGTATCACAGGTGCAGGTCTAAGCTCGTACTGAAAAAGTTAGCAGCTATTTTCTAGGCTGTAGAGGTCAGCGCATAGATGCCTCAAGTTTTCTGATGAGATGGCTTTCTTCCTTGTCTGTGAGCACGAAATGAGGATCAAAACCCAAAAACCAAACCAAATCTAAGACCTTTAAAAAGCACTTCTTGTGCTCCTCAGAAAGCAAGAGAAGGCAGCAAAATCATGTAAAAGAATCATAAAAATTATTCTAATCAGTTATCTTCTAGTTACTACAGCTTTCTAATGTCTTCAAGCAGAAGCTACTTTGT